AGGATTGGATCACTGGAATCACCTTTGTAAAAATGATCACATACACAGTTTTAATGACTCAGTCAGATACAGTTGGTTAGTTACTAATTAAAGCACGCCAGCAGTTAAACCAGTGAACATGATGAATAAATTAATCATGAGCCTTCCGCCTCCGTCCCAAGAAGCAGTTCCTGACATGTTGGAGGTGTGCACAAACAAAACAGAAGTGCGTGTTAGATCTTTTCAGCCAACCTGCAATATTTGCAACAGAAAAATCCTTTACTGACAAAACTGCACTGAAATCTTATCAAATCTCGTCATGTAGATCATTTATTGTTCACGTATAGCTGCTAAAACAGAACCATATTGACATGGAGTAGAATAAGTGGTTCACAATAAAACCCTCCTAGTGGTTCAGCAATGGAAAATTCCTAGTGCTGAGACGGTGCTGAGAGCTGAACACAGCGAGACTTTTTAAAATGATACTTTTTCTGTAGTCACCTGCTGTAGCATGCATGTGTTGAGCCAATTAGTTCAGCAAAAGACACAGCTCTGGTTAAGAACGGAGACCATTACAGGTTGGCCCCAGTTGACCCTTCTAACGAGCAGGTTAGCAATAATAAAGGTCGGGACAGGTGTCTTCTGCTGCGAGATTGCAGTCAGCATGCATATAATCATGCCTCAGTACGCTGTGGTGCAGTGGAAGCTGGGCTGTGCTGTTCACTATCTTGCGACTGGAAGTTGCATTTTGGTCTGCAGCTTGCCTGGAAGTCATCATCGTACAACACTGTTTTCTCTACTGATACAAACATAGCTAGATGGTAATGTGTCTTTGGATTAGACTGATCCTGCTTTTCTTTATCAGAAATCAGTGTTTCCTAAAAGAATGATCATTACAAGTAAACCACTTGTCACTGACTGTAGTGACGAGAGCCACTTCCACTCTCTCAGCACAACATTTAGACTGTCAAGTGTGGAAGGCCCTGGCTCTCAATAATGTAACTGTTAATATCCCGGCACTTTGTGTACACAGGCCCAACACAGCCCACTAATTTCCCTGCTGAGGACGGCTCCTCTCTGTTCTCTTAAATGGTAGATGAAAGCCCCGTGCTGTCTGGCTTTTCTGCTGCCGTCAAGCAGCCGTCACGTGTCACAGTTCTCCCTTGGGCCTCAGCTGGAGCCACAACTTAGAGGACGAGGAGTTGGAGCAGGATGTGTGGGGGTGCATGAGGGAAAAAGATGAAGAGAGTTGAGGGAGGAGGAAGAAGCAAGTGAAGGGGGAGGCAGATGGAGGAGGAAAAGAGAAAAGGAAGTGGACTAGAGGAAGAGGGGGGATGAAGAACAGTTAAAGAGCTTGGATGGCGCTTGGGGGCATTTTGAGAGACATAATAAACAAACACAGACAGGCCATTTCTCTCTCATGTACTTTGAGATCTCAGGAGTAAACATTAGAGCTAGAGATGTTTTTGCTGTCCACTGTGAAACGTGCTGTGCACCCCACACACACACACACACACACCCCACACCCCCACCTTGAACTCCTATCCATTAACATGCACATGATACCAGCAATGCGTGGCTTGAATAGTTGCCATGACGCCAGCTGGATCGGCCCAGCGCACTGTGCACAGACAGTCGGAGAGGATGTTGGCAGAAAAAAGCAATTGGAGTGGAGGATGGGAGGAGATTGGTGGGCAGCAGAAAAAAGAGAGATTGCCGAAAGTGCTCAAAATCGAGATAAAGGCGAGTGTTGGGAGTGGAGAGAAGGCGGATCAGCTGAGAGTGGTGGCGAGGCACAAACAGAGGTAGCAGCAGGATGAGAGCAGCAGGAAAGTCCTCCAGAAACTCTGATGACTTCTGGTCCAGTTTGAAAGAGCGAGCTGGCAGGAGTCTGTGACCCCCTCTGTCCTCTCCTCCTCCACCCATCACTCCATCCTCCCACCCCCATACATCCAGTGCTTTCATGGGGAGTCCAGCTGGCACCGGGCTCGGGGCTGTTCAGATACACACACATACCCTTTTACACACTCACACAGTCACATCTGAGGGGACCGGTGGAGAAGCATTTCCTGGATCGCCTGCGGCAAGTGAGATAGCTCTCCGCCGGACAGACACATACACACTTTGCAGACACACCATAAACAGTATTTCAAATATGCACACACAGACAAATTGGACCATGCAGCTTGGTGCATAAAATAATCAGATGATGTAGCCATGGGGGAAATGCTCGCTCTGACTCTCTGACATAAACTCCAGGCTAACCTCTGTATGGGCT